CCCCCCTCCCCCCAAGTTTGAGTTTTTCTTTTAATATTTAGTTTCTCTTTTATTTCAATTAACAAATAGTGTGTACTAAAATGTAATAGTTTTAGTTTACAATAACAACACTAGTTTAAAGAACATTATACCACAATATTTAACTAATCTTTACAAAACGGCAGTTTATAGATCTACAATGTAACAAAACTTTAAATGTTTAAATTAGGTCTAGCACAACAATATTTGTTAACGTGTTATTAAATTATTTTTATAGTGGCACATAAAGTTCCAACAGTTCTAGCTCAGTAGTTGTGGTATTAGTACTCAGATGGTGCTTTATTACGAGGGCCAGATCAATGCAACTATTTAAAAAAAAAACATTATTTAATGTTTCTTGCAATGAAAAAGAAAGTTTAAACATTTTATAAGCTGTATTTGTAGTCAAATTAAGTCTTTGCAAAAGTCATAAAATAACAAAATATCCACCAAATTAATGTTCCTCAAGTATGGTAGCAAAGGATGTCAGCCACATCATGACTTGTATGAAGGACATACCTTCATATGTGCAGTAATAGAAGACATTAAGGGCCTCCACTGCAGCCGGGCCCCTCTGTTTATAGCCGAAGATCAGATCGACCCATTCATGCAGATGGGCCGACACATACTCAGATTCCTGAAAACAGACCCACATCATCTACATCAAGAAATAGTCACATGATACACTTCCACACCAGTATTTCTCTAACTTTAGACCTGAGGCCTTCAGTCATTATGAGAAGAATCTGCCACCAGGAGGAGTCTGGGAAAGACTCTTCTGTCGTTCTAGTTTTGTAACCTTTCACGAAGCCATTTCTGACAGCTTCGGGCTTTAATAGGACAGAAGTGGCAAAGGAATTGAGAAAAAGAACAGAAACAGATACTGAGAGCAGGCTGTATTCAATTACACATCCCTCCCTGGAGGCTTTCTATTGAGGTTAGTGGGGAAGAGCCGTGAAGAGGTCCTCAGAAAAGGGCTCACCAGGGCTTTGCGGTGCTTGTAGATGAAGTCCTCGGGGGATTTGGCCCATTTTGGCAGGATGACATCATTTACCCTCTCTTTAGAGATCTGCAAGCGACCCAGGTCAAATCCTACACCAATTAGAGAGAGAATGAGACACAATGAAACACTGGTTACTTGAAATTTTGCGAATATTGCTGATTTATGCTCATGAACGTGCTTGCAAGGTTTTGACACAGATGTGTTTTAGAAAGGCTGTATAATTTGTTGGGGTCATATTGACTCCCCCCATTGGTTTCTATGCAATGTGCCAAAAA